GACCTGGTAAACAACAACTTGGATGTTGGCCCATGCAAGTCTTCTTATAAACCAACATGGTATGACATTATCCCAACTAAAATTCCAACTACAACCACTAACGCAGTACATAGTTTACATCAAACTGAAACAAACTTTTAATGTTCTTGATTTGATTCATCGTCCATGGCGGCAACTAACAATAATCCACCACGCAAGCTCCACTTCGTGTTAATCCCGTTGCTGGCGCAAGGCCACATGATTCCCATGATCGACATGGCCAGGCTGTTGGCCAGCCACGGCGGCGTGAAAGTTAGCCTCGTCACCACCCCGCACAACGCGTCGAGATTCTCGGAGAATCTCCGGCGAGCCAGCCTGGAAATTCACCTCCTGGAAATCCCATTCCCCTGCCAAGAAGTGGGGCTCCCGGAATGCTGCGAGAATCTTGACAGCGTTCCTTCTAAAGACCTTATACGAAACTTCTACACCGCTCTCGACGCCCTACAAGCACCGCTGGAGAGGTATCTGGAACAAGAACTCGAGAATTCGCCGCCGAGCTGCATTATATCGGACAAATGTCTGTCCTGGACGGCGAAAACGGCGAGGAAGTTCCAGGTGCCGAGGCTGGTTTTCCACGGGATGGGTTGTTTTTCGTTGTTGAGTTCGCACAACATTATGGTGCATAAGCCTCACCTTTCCGTGAAATCAGACATGGAGGAATTCCCCATCCCCGGCCTGCCGGTGAACGTTCATATCGCCAAAGCTCAGCTGCCGGGATCTTTCGTCACTCTGCCGGACCTGGATGATATTCGCGGAAATCAGAACGAAGCTGAGTCCAGTGCTTATGGTGTGGTGGTCAACACTTCCCAAGAACTCGAACATAGTTTTGTAGAAGCTTACCAAAAGGCAGTTAACAAAAAGGTATTATTATTTTTGGGCAACCCATTCAAATTCGTCTTTGATAACTATAAGGTTACGATTTTAATTCGTAATGTAAGTGGTTTATTAGTCTTCTGGATTTGAGCCATCTAGGTTGACCCTAAGATCACAATGCAGAGTTTATTCATCACTGCACCCTCGGGTCAGACTTTCCTGGTCGGCTCGTCCCAGAAAAAAGGTTTTATTAAAGTATGTTTAGCTACTACCTGCTAGCAAGGACACACACGTAGACACACACAAACACATTATCTAATTAGGGTTTTTAGGTGTTGATTAGCACGGAGGTCCAGGTGCCTTTTTATACTCGTTACAACTAATAACTTTTCGAGTTAGACCAAATAGTGTTTATATATGTCTCTTCACTATTGAGGTGCAATTACACATATTATAAGTGATTGTATATAGCCTATATTTAAAGTGTTACACTGATCGCATCTTTAAAATTTTGCGTGTTGAGGATGATAAGCATTAATTTATTAATTTCTATTTATTACCAATTATAGGTGTGGTGCATTGGACCGGTTTCACTATGCAACAGAGATGTTGTGGATATGTATCACAGGGGAAACAAAGCATCAATTGATGAAAAATACTGCCTGGAATGGCTTGATTCCATGAAACCAAAGACTGTCCTCTACGCCTGTTTGGGCAGCCAATGCCGTCTGATTCCATCACAGTTGATACAAATTGGACTTGGCTTGGAGGCCTCCAATCACCCTTTCATTTGGGTAATAAAGGCAGGGGATGATGAGAGATCTGCCGAGCTAGAAAAATGGTTTCAAGAAGAAAGATATGAGGAGAGGATAAGAGGGAGAGGTGTTGTGATCAAGGGTTGGGCACCGCAAGTGCTGATTCTGTCCCACCCAGCCATCGGGGGATTCTTGACTCATTGCGGGTGGAACTCAACTATAGAAGGAGTGTGTTCTGGTGTCCCTATGATCACCTGGCCCATGTTTGCCGAGCAATTCTTGAATGAGAAGATCATTGTGGAGGTTTGGGGCATTGGGGTTGGTGTCGGCGTCAAGTTTCCGGTGAGGTGGGGTGAGGAAGAGAGAGTGGGAGTGCTGGTGGTGAAAGATGAGGTTGCAAATGCTGTAGAGAAGCTTATGGATGGGGGAGAAGAAGGTGAAGAAAGAAGAAAGAAAGCACAAGAACTTGGTTTGGTAGCAAAGAGGACCATGGATGTTGGTGGCCCTTCACATGGTAACATTTTAGATTTGATTCAAGAAATTATGCACTACAATAAAGAGGGAACTAGGTAAGGTACCCTAAATAATGTTTAATTTGCCACTATTGAATTTCAATTTTGATATACTATATGTAGTTTTAGTTTGATACTATACATTTTTCAATGTATTATATATATAATACTATCATGAAGAATGTAAATTATAAAACTAAAAATATAATAGTATTAAAATAAAAATGTTGTGATATCAAGTACAAATTTGAGATGTGAGAGATGATACTTGATTTATCGAGATGTGTAATAGAATTTTCTTAAGTGATTATATATAGCTTCATATTATATATGACTATACTTTATAGTTTTAATTTTACATTATTTATGACCTTTTACACATGCGCGCGCGCGCGCGCACACACACACACACACACACACACATATATATATATATATATATATATATATATATATATATATATATATATATATTATATAAAGGTAAATAAGTCATGCATGATTTGGAATTGATTATGAATTAAATATTTTTTCCTGAAAACATGAATTAATAATTATTTAATAATAGTGAAAATGTTATTTTAAGATCTTAAAAAAACTTCATTATATTTCAAAAAGTCTATATATGAGTGTTCCTTGTTTAACTAAAACCATTGAAATGCCATTTGTAAAATGTCAACAACTAATTTTGTAATGTCAATGATCACTTTGCTAATGCATGCATGCCATATGGCACGAGGATCATGATTTGTCAACTTGATTAGGTCCTCGATCTGAGAGTTATTTATTTACTTTCTCAATTTCCTCAATCTAAGCTGATTAACTATATACGAATACTTTGAATTAGTTTATCCCTTATAATTTCTCAAAGCAAATTAAAGATGATTTTTTAAAGTTAATTTTGTTGTGGGTTTGTGTAATTTTTCCCGTCCACTGTTTTTTTTTTTCGAATTGTTGTATTTGAAATAAATTCATTTTTTATTAAATAATGAAAATTGACCGGCCGCTAGTATAAATATAATGGAGTTTTAGAGTTCGGCCGCAACGATTTAATAATATTAATACTAATATGTGAATTGAAAATCAACGATCGATTTTGAATATGTAAATAATAAATAAAAAGTCGACGGTGTTGCTTGGAGATGAAGCAATTTGGTAGTTGAATTCCATTAAAATTTTGAAAATTTGAAAATAATGTCAGCTGAGCTGAATGCCTGAATCATAATAGTAAAATTGCCATTGTTAAACCTGGAAACATTCATAGCATATCTGCATATATAATTATTACAACGATAAACATATATGCATGAAGACAAGAAACAAAAATCCTTGAACTGGTACGAGATTCAAGCTAAGCTACGGAATAGAGTAGAAGTGCCAAAGGATTCGAGTTGCCCTTAACTTTGAATTGGTAACCGTACGTACCGCCAAAACATGAATATAATGGTGGGAGATCGATGATCGAGCCGCCTCATGTTTGTCGTATGTACTGCCAATATACTTCTTTATATATATATATATATATATATATATATATATATATATATATATATATATCATCACCACCTCCCGAGACATAGAGGCAAACCACCACCACCACCACCCTCGCCGGCCGCCGGCCGCCGGCGAGGGTGGTGGTTTCAGGTAGGTGGTGAAACGAGTCTCATAAAGGAGGAGGGCATATGGAGAGTTTGATCAAGAATGGATCATGGGTGTTTTTTGTAGTTTGCCATGAGAGCAATAAAAGAGTGAGGTGACTTAACTAGGGAGATTAACCACTTTTTAGACTGAGGTGACTTAATCAATCACTTTTTTTTTTTTTTTAAATTTATTTAAAGAAAAAGATGATTGAAAAAAGAGTATGATTAAAAGATAATTTAATTATTCTGCGAACTGGATGTCAATTTATCATGATCTTCCCATCACAGTTGTTTAGATTTAATATTTAATGTACGTTGATATTGAAGGTGTGACTTTGTCCAGATTTCTATAGTCTATATATCTAGTTTTTTTTCTTCTCCTTTGTATTAAAAAAAAAAAAAAGATGGAGTAAAATTAGGATTGGTGGTTGCTAGCATCTTCCAAAGGATATGCCATTGCACTTTCATTTCTCCACATTACATGCATGTTGTGTGTTTAATATTGTTTAGGTTTTTGCACCCCACTTTCTTCTCCTTTAATTTCCTTTGGCTCCTTTAATTTCTATTGCTATACCCTACATTTCTTAGCTTTGGATTGGTCTGACTAAGATTTCATGGTCTTTTAATGTAATATATGTAGACGACAAAACTGAATAGTGGCCACCACCTTCGTAGAAAGGTTAGTGAATATGATTCCCAAAATGGCTTACAAGTGGAAATCAAGTTTCCAGCTATGATGTGGATCCCAGGTCTGAGGATCCTATAATATAAATTTGTTGATGATGATGATGACACATACTATACAATGGAGATATATATCAATAATATGCGCCACTGTTTCAATCAAGATTTCTTCCATACCTACCTTAATTAAGTTTCCATCTCCCTTCCAAAACGGCAAAACCAACAACCTTTTTCTTGTTAAATTTTTTTTTTTCCTTTTGTTGTCATGGACACATTCTCTGTCAAACTGGCATCTTTCCTTTCCACACAAACAAGACCAAATACAAGGTAGCGTGTTCCATGGGGTTGAGGAAGAATCTTTCCTTAAAACCCTTTGGAAGAGGACAGGGTAGACTGATATGACTTCTCACTGTTATAAAAATATAGCCGCAATTTGCTTTACCAGAAAGCATGTTTCAGCTGTAGTAGAATATAATATAGTTCAAAAATGTATATATAATGAAACTATGATGCTAGAAGTTCATTTACACAACAGAAACCATAACTTTAAATAGTTAAGCGAGGTTCAATTCATATATTACTGTATAGAACAAAACAAGTATCGATAATTCGATATAGAGATCCTTGGTACATAAATATATATTGCTCAACTATTTAGACGTATATCACAGCTGCACATGATCTGAGTAGTTGTACGGAGACTCAGTTGCTAGACTTATTTCTGTTAGCCTAAGCTTAGTCGTTCCAATGTCCACCAATTGCTTTTTTTATTTCCAGGATTTCACATCATTTATTCTTCATAATTTTTTTTAAAAAAATAAAAAATTGTTAAGTGGAAATATGGATGAAGTTACCTATGGTGAGGATGTATCCGGAAGAAAGGTGTTGGGTTCAAGATGAGCGCGGCTTCTTTCCATTCTTTGCTGTCTTGAGTTTCATAACGAGACTCTCGCGCTGCGCTTCAACTTCAGCATACTTGAGGCTCATCTCAAAGTAACGCTCACGAATGTCCTTGAGCTCAGCCTCTAGTGATGATTTTGTCTGTTCAAACCTCTCTTTTTCCGCCAATTCATTTTCAGCTATTATTGCTGCTCGCTTGGAAGAAGCTCCTTGAGTTCTCCTCTCCTCTGATCGGAACCTTCAAAGAACGAATTGCCAGCAGAATTTGTTACGGGTACTGTTAGTATTACTGACATTATAGTCTGTTATTCAGTGAAGCTGCTTACAACCCCAAGTAAAGAAAGATAAAAGATCTCGAGAGCCTACAAAATGGAGAATGTGCAATTCCTACCTCTGAAGCTGGATTTTGAACTTCTTATTTGCCTCCAAAGTCTCAGCAAGCTTGCTTTCGAGCAACTTTATCTTTTCAATGCAGACTGTGGTATCATTAGGGACTCCATCATTAGAACCATATCCATTGTCATCCTGAATGAGCAAGAATATAAACAAAAAGGAATACTTTATACATATAAAGTACTTGCAGAAACTAAAATAGACAACAATTTTCGTTTTCTTATCAAATTCAGAGGAAGATTGGATAGGAGAACCAGAATAGATTGAAAGCATACGAGAAAGACTTACAATTTTCCTGCAATTTTGCTTATCTTTCTCCTCCTCCAGTTGATGAATTTTCTGCTGATATAATCTGTTTTCTCTCTTGATTTTAGTTAGTTCAGTTCCCAGGCCCTCATTTTGTACCTCCCTTTCACTCAAATTTTTCTCCATCTGTAAAAGTTTTTCTTCTAGGGAAGCTTTCTCTCTTTTGCAGTTCTCAGATACCAAAACAGCTTCCTTCAACCTCGATATTTTGTCATGAAATGAGAAATTCTCAGACTTTATTTCTCCGCTATCTCCAAATATCGTCTGCATTGAAGCTTCTAACTTTTCCTTTTCGTTCCTGCACTTGTGGAGCTGATTTCTCAAATCCAATATTTCATCCTGAAGTTCCGTCATTTTCTGCAACTGGAATTTAAGATTGACTGTATCTTCAAGAAGTTGTTGATGCTCGCACTGAGAAATAGTTAACTTCAACTCAAGGTTGTTCATTGATGTCTTGAGTTTTTCCTCGGTTGTCCTGTAACTTGTTAATAGTTTCAATGTTTTTTCATGGTCAGCCATTAACTTCTCATAACTCTGTTTGGAACCAGCAAGCTCGATCATTAAGCCTTGAACCTTCGACTCAGAAGTTGTCCGAACAGTGTTGAGTTCATTCTCAGTTACGCTAACTTTTGATTGAATCCCTTCAAGGACGCCTTCCATTCTTGCCTTATCAGCCTGCAAGCTAAATATTTCATTTGCAGCTGCAGTAGCTGACCTCTCATTTTCCTCATTCATTGCAGAGATTTTCATGGTTAAGTGCTCTACTTGTTTATGGAGGCTCTCGATTTCATTTAACTTTTCCTGAAACATATGACTTGAGACCTCTTGTTGTGCAAGTTTCTCCATCTGCATCTCGTTTTCTCGAACAAGTTCATCCAGTTCTGACTTAAAATTTTCCTCTTTGAAGGAAAAATCTTTTATCATTGAGTTAAGCTTTTCTTCCAGAGTTTCAACCTTTTTATAGCTGCTATCATACAAGCTTTTCTCAGATTGCTTCAACCGATCATCCACTTGCACACAGTACTCCTGCATCTCCACATTTTTTGCCCATAATTCTGAATTTGATTTCTGAAGGATTTTGACTTCTTCAAGGAGATTTTCGATGGATTCTTCTAACTTCTGATTTTCCTCTTTGAGATGTTCGCATTCTCTTTGAGCTTCTGACTGCTGATTCTGGGCGATTTCTAAATTTTGTTTGAGACCAGCAACTTTATTTTCCATTTCCATTTCCAGCTCCGTGATCTTACCCTTGAGTTTCTTTGCAACGGATCTAGAATTATCGAGTTTCAAGTGACAAGAGTCCCTGTCAGTTGCAATGCACTTCATTTGACTTTCTAGATACAAATTCTCTTCTTTCAGCTTCGTTAACTGGTTCTCTAGTTTGCGGTTATCACACTCGATCTCCTCTGATTTCCTTTGAAGAATCTCGTTGTTATAAATTTGTTTATCCATATTCTCACCGAGGATCTTAAGCTTGTTTTGTAGATCATCCAAGCATCTGGAGCTGCTGCTATTTTCCCTGGACATTATTTCCAAATCTTCTTCAAGTTGGTCTCTTTTCTTCTGAAGATCTGCAACTTTTGTATCGAGTTCCCTTCGATGCTGCATAAGAAAGTTAGTTTCTTCTTCCTTTTTAAGAAAATCGGCGTTGAGTCTATCCACCTCAGGTATCTTTTGAGACAATTCCTTTTGAAGATTTGTACACTGAACTTCAAGCTCTGCCTTAGAATTCTTATTTTCTTGAAACATCATACTATAATCTTCCAGCTTCTGTAGAGCTTCTTCAAGAGCAGAATTTTTCTCTTGGATCACAAATTCATGCTGTTTAAGAATTTCTTCAGCTCGGGAACCATTCTGCAATTCTGCTTCCAATCTAGCTATTTCTTCTTCCTTGACAGATAGCTTATGTTCATATTCTTTCTCAACATCTGAAAGATTCTCTATCTCAACTTTCTGTTGTTCTATGGTCTCTTCCAGCTCCTGAAGAACAGAAACAAGATCGATATTCGATTCTTGGCTTCTTTTCAGCTGCAGAGCTAAACTGTTATTCAACTCTTGCTGATGTTTTATCTCGTTCTCCAGTTCCTCGTGAATACTACGAGTTAAACCTTTAGTCTGAAAAGATGAATCTTCCAGAGTTGTCTGTTTCACTGTTGACTCCTCCAATATTAGTTTCAAGTTTTCGATCTCCCTTTTCAGACTGTCATGTTCTGCATAGGCAGCAGATAGCTCCATTACCAAATCTGCTTGCTTCTTCGACTGATTGGAGAATTCGTTCTTCAGTATATCGAGATCAACCATTAATTTCCTCGCATTTCTCTCCCACATCTTCGCCTCTACTCGAAGCTCTTCAATCGTATCTTCAGCAGCTTCCAGGAGTTTTTTACTGGACCCAGAATTTGTCAGAGCTACTAAATCTTTTCCATAATGTTGCAGATTCTCCATTATACTCATGACACCAGGCTGATTAAGAGATGGTCGGTTTGAAGCAGAACGATCCTCAAACAGAAAACTGTCTCGGGGCGAATTATTCTCAGAGATTTCTCCATTATGATGGTTGGAAGCTTCACTCCTTAAGTGATTCTTCAAGAATAATTTGTCAAAGGAACCAGAAGGCGAGGAGCTCCTTTCCTGCAGTGAAGTGAAAATGTGATTTTACCTTGATACCAAACTTTCCAACATTCTTGCAGCAAATGACAGGGACAAAAGTTGCATATATACATATACATATATATAAAGTTTACCTGGATACCAAACTTTACAGAACGAGACATAAAACCCGAATCATGAATGGATGCAACTCCGACATTCCCAGCTGCTAATAAACTGCTAGACACATTTGAGTTTCTACCACTGTCATGATAATCTGAACTTTGCTCTTTCACAAGGGAATGTGAGCCATTGGATTCTTCATCTCTGAATCAAGTTGCAGGTTGTTAGTTAAATCATAAAAAGATCGAGAAAAAAAAAAAAAAAAAAGTGCTTGTACCTGAGTTTTCTTGGTGTTAAGCAGTGTATTTTCACCTGCAAATTAGAATGAGAAAGATAGTGGTACTTAAAGCTTAAGATGATAGATAGAAACTGACAAAATCAAGTTTGTTTGTAATAGGAAAGAACATAAATACACTCAACTCCCTCTGGTTCCCACTGATCTACCAAACAGAAAGGAAAAACATCATGAATTGTTTGTTAACTTGCCTGTAATATTATTCCATAATTGCACTTTTTTAAGGGCAACGAAACGGGAGATGCTGATCTTGAGCTCACATAGCTTGCTAGATTCATCGTTGCCTCCCCGAGGATGCCTGATCTGGCTGAGCCCTGGATTCAAATACTCGAATTGAATTATACCATACAGTTAAGCTTTCACAATGAACAGAAGGTGTTTCAGTCATACCATAGAAACAACACACTTGTACAGATATTCCTCAACCTCTGTTGAGGAATCTTCTCGCGGTATCCACACAGATTCCAAAAGTGTCTCTGGCCACTGACAGCTTCCTGCCCGCACCATGGCTTTGCCCAATTTTGCTATTACTTTTCCTGTTCCAGCAGAGACGACTGATAGGGAAAGCCTATCCCATCCTTTAGGTACCTGTTCTCATAACATATATGCAGCATGAAAAGTTGGCTGATATCAATGACAAACTTGCTGAATTAAACGAATCGTGAGATAATCTAGACCCTCAGATTTAATTTGGAACTTATACCAGTACCAAAATAATCCCAGTCTAATCAACATCAACTGAGAACATTTACAACATTCCTTTCACCTACAAAAATTTTTAAAAACCGACACTCAAGATGAGGCCCGACTCCCCCATTCCTGAAGGAGCCGAGGTGAGATAGTATCATATACAATCTACTACCCCAATCCCCACAGAAAGAAAACGAGATAAGATCAACTCCTTCACATAGTTAGTAAGGGAATTTCAGAGCATGAAAGTATGAAACCATCAAAGTTAAAAGCTTTTCTCCTAAAGTTGCTCAATTTGATTAACAGGTTCACTTTAATGCTTCATTTTCTCAAGGATTTTATGCTAACTTTGTAAGATCAGCTAAAAAAAAAAAAAAGAGCTTTTATTACCATTTAGACAAAAAACCATATCTGATATTTGTTATCTAATAAGAAAATAATGAAAGTAAATTAAATAGCTACAGTGATCAAGACTTTGAGTGCTTTCCAAGTTTCCAGTTCAAACAAAAAATGTCCAAATTATATCAACAGGAGACAGTGTGACAATCCCAATCAAGAATTACAGTCAGTTACTGAAAAATATCACTGAAGAGTTATCAACTAACAGAATAGAAAGAACAGAGGAAAAACAAAGAAATGGATGATTTTGACCTGAAGGGCTTGGAAATTGGAGAATCTGAAATCAACCCTTTCTCCAGATGTGGGTGATGGTGATGATGGCTTGTTGTTTTGCTTCTGAGACTTGAACATTTTTGTGTTCCTCAATTTTGATCTAGTACAATGTTGCCCTCCCTACAACCAAAACCTTGCAATGAGGGGAAAGAGAAGAAGAATCTGAGTGCATTTGAGGTGTGAGAAGAGAAACAGAAAAACGTTGTGCTTTCTTGGGTGTTAGTTATGAGGTCACTGTTCCCATGGATGGTGCCCAGTTTACTTGCAGACAGTTGATAGAGACAAACGTGAAGGTTTCTAGAGAGAATTTATAAACGGAATTTGGCCCATAACATATGATGATGAAGTTAACATAGTAATGTTACATAGCATGTTGTTATAATAAATTCTTTCAACCACTGACATGGTTATTATTGGTTGGTAAGCTTATCAGTAAGGCGGTGAAGGCAAGGAAACATTGTCAATTCCTTTTTCTTTTCTTTTTTTATTTTACCTTTCCGGCCTTCCCTCATTAATAATTACTTCACCCAATTTGTTTTACTCCAAAAATACTCATTATTTTAAAGAGTATTACTCTCGTCACAAATCAAGATTCAACGATGATCAAAGTAGTCGGGATAACGAAAAAAAATATTCACAATTGCTACTGGTTGCACTAAGTAAATCCTGCTCCTACGTTCTTATGTAATAACTTGTAAATCACACATGAGAGGTAAAGAGTTAAGAAAATCTTATGTGATGATTTTATTAAAAAGATGATGTCCAATTGGATAACAAAATAATAGATTTGACCTTTCGTGTCTCTGTCTAATACAAATAATATGAGCCTGAGTTTAAAAAATTATGGTATGTTTAATTTCTATTTTTGTTTTCTTGTAAGAGGAGAAAACGTATATACTATATTCTTCAACTTTATTGATTTTTATTGTGTATTTTTATGCAAATATTAGTTCTAATCCCAAGAAGCATTGGTGCTATCTATTTTATGCACTTTGTGATTTGCACCTTCATATGATATTACACTATTTTGTCCTTGTCATTAATATAAGTCTCACTTTTAGTGGTAATATGGAGTTTGATTCTCATTGAAAGGACAACTAATCAAAGTCAAAAAAATCTCGATATGAATAGAAATGTACAGGTTGTATTGAGAATTCAGAGCTGATCGATTTACCTTCTCATGAACTTAAATGGCAGGATTCATGATGACTAGGATATAACTTAGCAAAACTAAAAAACTTACTAAAAAAAAAATCAAGCTCAAGAAGCAACTTCTCATCTCAATTTTCCATAACATATAAGAAAAGTTATATGCTGATCAGCAATGATGGTGGTGGGAGCCCTGGAGACTTGAAGCAAAAGGCACTGTGCATGTTTATGTGTGGAAAGTTGTAAGCTTTCCATGTTATCTTACAAATGAAGACTTTGAACTTCTGCATCATCATCACTAATCACATGAATGACTACTAAATTACTACATAACATAGGTGAAACCATACATGCATTCATCATGCCATTTAACGTGTTCACCTCAACTCACCATAATTACACTACTTAACAATTCATAATTACACCCTTCGGAGACCTGTCTCGAATAGGGTCTGACCAAGACTCGACTAAATTTGTCTCGCCCCATGAGATGCAAATACCAAAAAAATCCCCTAGGACTATTGCTATACATTGTTCTTCAAGAATGGGATACACCCGTCTTTCGGGCCAGTTTTACAAGACTCAACAATCATCCAAGAAATGAAAGAACTGCAAATGTAAAGATATGTTATTACCCGAGCGAGTTTCATGCCAACACTGGAAGTTTCTTTTTCTGCCTTTCAGTCACTTTCATGTACAAACCCTGCACCAAAAAGGAAAAATAATATCAAGTAGCTTTCTATTTGTTATACGGCAATGGTTCTCTTTGCATAAACGAGAGAAACGGGGCAACTGTGAACTTGAAGAAAGAAGCGTAGTTGCATTAGCTTAGAATCTTACATTTGTTGTGTGAATAGTTGCTCCGGTTGTCATACCAATTTTCTGATCTGGAACCAACTCGAAGTTTAAGTTCTGCAGAAATATTGCCAGAGCAACAATAGCTTCGAGTAAAGCAAACTGATCACCAACACATTTACGAGGCCCTCCACTGAAGGGGATGAATCTGCAGCACATCATTTATGAACACCAATCTTCAATATATTGAATAGCATATGTAGATAGATGTACAAAACAGGTATAATAAAAGGAACCCTGTGGATAAAATGAATACCTAAAATCAGTATTTGTCTCATTAGGAATTGGATCTTCCAAGCCAAATCTTTCCGGTAGGAAATCTTCAGCTCTTTCCCAGACCTAGAAAAATCAACTACTTACTATCACTCATTACAAATGCCCCAGTTTAAAGTACTACACATAATAGAAAAAGATTTTCAAGGCGTTGTGTTACCTTTGCAGAATGATGAATATTATACACTGAAATCATTATATCTTGACCAGCATTTACTTTATAACCACCGGGCAAGACATCAGCTTCTTGAGCTCTTCGTAGCAGGACCTAGTGAAATGAAGTTTTCGACAGGAAATCAGGTCAACGTAAAAGGACACGTCACACGTTACAACCAATCGACTAGGAGACCAATGGGAACCTACAGGAGGGTGTGGATATAGTCGAAGAGACTCAGTTATGCACCGTGTCACGAACTTGAGATTCTTTATGTCTTCATAGGTAGGATTTCTTCCCCCTAATACTTTGTCGACTTCTTCTTGTGCTTTTCTCAAAGCGGAAGGGTTCTGCATTAAGATAAAAATTATGTAGAAACTAGAAACTAATGATAATCTTGAAACAATAGCTGCAAGGACCGGGCACCTCATAGGCTAAATGATATTGAACCATTAACTAGCTTGGTTGGCGTGAGTGGCCGTGCACTCTCATCCCTTAAGAGAGGTCGAAAGTTCGAACCCCCTCTCGTATGGAAAAACCAATCTGGCCAGCACTTTGCCCCTTAATTGGGCCGGGCCGGTGCGAATGGGGATTAGTCTGAGTATGATACGGGCTTAAAGGTGCCTCCTACAGTTAGGGTCTGCTCGGAACACCTCATGGTCTAACCAAAAAAAAAATGATATTGAACCACAACTTTAGTTCCCAGTTGTGCAATGTCCACAGGAATGGAGTTTTTTGACAAGTTTAACGGCAGTGAGATTGTGCAGCCAGCAAAAAGGAATGAAATTTTTCTTTTGTTGACCATACTAGTCAATCTTTGCATTCACAAATTCTAGTGTTTGAAGTTCAATTTCAGGGAATAATGTAGAAGAGATAGTATACCACTATACCTTACTCAGTAGGTATGATGTCCAAGTCAATACTGAACCAGTGGTTTCATGCCCCGCGACAAGCATAGATAAAAGGTCATCACGAAGCTGTGCACTTGAAACCTAAAATGTGCAGCATTACCATTGCATTAATGTTAGGAAAAATCATAAAAGACATGTTCCAAGTGTCATTACCGAGAACATAGATACTTAAATATGGAAGCAATGAAGTTGCCATTCATTCATTTTGCCCAAAAATAAGAATTATGCAATGAAAATTCTTCAAACCCAAAAGCCAAGATTTAGCACTATAAACTTGCATATAACTTTGAATTACAATAATAAAGACAATATAGAATTATCTAGAGAAGAAGCATGGATTGAATAACAGAAATTATTCCTATAATTTGTACATGAACTCACACAAGCCAGTAGTTAAGGCATCCACCATTTTGGCAAAGTGCAGTAAAATACATTCATAAGCTAGTTCATACCCAATTCAAGTTGCAGATAGAGCTATAGAACCTCAAAAGGTCCAGTTCAATTTCCAGGAGAAGAGCGAATATAGAAACTATGGCTTTAGCAGAAAAAAGAAAAACAAAAGGGCATAAATAGTTTCAAATAAGTTACCAACCTCCTCCCTGCTAGCAAGTAAAAATCTAAGGACGCTTGGATCAGTATCATTCACATACTCCTCGTTAGTTATACTCTCACCCTCAGCTTCCACCATCTCTTTGCACTTTGCAACGAGCTCTTCAACTGTTTGTCTGATTAAAATAACTGCCTTCTCAGCCTTTACTTGTCGTGGAACTATTTTACACAATGCCTTAATCTGCAATTAATCTGGCGGATCTAAATAAAAATTATTAAGTAGATAAAATATTACCAACAGATAGATATCTAGCCAGTAAATGACTCGCCTTCCAATATGGCAACAGATCAGTTGATCGCAACTCCGCTTCTTTCAGTGCAGTGTAAACTGCTTCTATCACTGGACTATCAGTCCCGAGGGAATCAAAGTTGTAATTGAAAACAGCTAAACCAATTACATCGAGTGTTAGTTGAGAAAACTTTTCCTCCATGTTTACTGCAGAGCCATTGAGAGCATAAGGTGTGAGTTTCTCCACCAGTCTCTCAGCACATCTGCAAAAGACCCTCTCAACAATTACTGACAAGTACTTCTTGTGGAGTGATGGAACCACAGCCCTACGCCTTGCCTATAACCAATCGGGATCTTGAGTCAAAATAATCGCATTTCAAGCCTTCAACATCATACTCAAACACCTAAAATTGAAAGTCGGGCAACCCCAGCAATGTTGGTGGGACTTTTGACTTGGTAGCCACAATATTACAAGTTCGAAAGCTGCTTATTGGCTTTTTTAGTTTGAGTGGTCATCTATGGGCAATTAGACTCGTGGTTCTTTGCCAAGCTAGAGTCACAAAGCAAGATTTACACAGCACAGCACGTAGACATACAAAGATCACACAAATCAAAATTGAAACTCAAAATCAACTATCTATAACAGAGAATTCTACAAAAATTCAATTGGTCTTCTCTAAAATGAAATTTTGATACCAATTAACTCAAACAAGGGTAGAAAATGGTAAAAATCAAGTCTTTACCATCCAAAGGGGGCCTTCAGCAATGGCAAAGCCAGACCCAAACAAGAACTCAGACACCTCAGCAACAAGCCCTTTTGCATACTTCCCATAATTCTTCAACACATGCTTTGCAATCGCTGGGTCACTGACGATCACAAAGTTCCTGGGGCCCGCCGCGAGGCGGTAGGCAGGCCCGTACTCATTCATCCATTTGAACAGTGGGAGGAAAAGAGCGCCGCCCAGAAGGTCCGACACGTCCTCCAGCTTCGCATTGGCAATGGGTATATTTGAATCGTCGTTTTGGCCTAAAGTAAGAGACCTGGTCAGGCTAGTTAGCCAGTCTGGACTCACCCACGAGCTTGGCTTGGTGGAGGGCGGTGGTGGGGGTTTTTCCAGCGAGGTTTTGATGATTAATAAGTGGGAATTGCGCGGGTACTTGGGGCTGAGAGTGGTGGTCCGGCGGTGGCTGAGTGGATTGGAGCGGAGGAGAGAGAAAGACGGGAGAGAGAGTGAGGATGGCATACTGGTGGCAGTGGCGGATATGAGAATCAGAGGAGCTTTTAGGCCGTTGGCGCCTTTTTTAGTTGATAGAAGAAAGAAACAACTAATTTGGGCTTTGATTCTTGGACTAAACACTCCAGGTCCAATATATTAGATTATAGCCCAAGCCCAATGTATCTTGTCCAAGTTTTTTTTGCTGCTTTAAAAAATTTTAGTGGATTATATCAATGGCTCAACATCCAACAATAGAATTGGAACTTTTTCTAGAGTTGGAAAATGGGTCGGTCCAATATTCAAATTACATGTACTTTATTTTATTTTATTTAGATAATCCAGGTTTTTCTACTGCGTTGAACTATATTATGGATCCCATAAACTTGCTTCAAACTCGTGAAAAAGTAAATCGAGTCAACTTAATTTGAGACTCAATATCAAATTATACACTTTTGTGCACAAAAGACCCAACCCAAATCCAACACCCAATATTTATGACAATAATCAAACCATCACGCATGCCGCTAAAAGTAAGTCTTAAGTCAAAATTTTTATCCACCAGACTAACGCATTGAGGGTTCATTATTTTATTTTATATTCTAATCTATTGATTGATTATTACTTTTAAAAGTGATTTATTTTTTATTCTCCTTATTTTTCATTTAATTTCACACAATTAATACAGATCATGTGACATGAATAATACTCTTTAAAAAGTATTATTAACATTTTCCATTTTTAGCGGTAAGCTTAAAGATGACCATGGGCAGCTCAATTGGTTTTAGTGGTGAAAGTTTGAAAGAAAGATCAGAAATTAAGTCTCACTCACAACAGTGTGGGAGCAATCTTTCAAGCTTTTAGAACAAGCTACCAAGTTACATGAATTTTCTATATTCTATTTATGCGAAAAATATTCTTGTGCTCGTTGAACACTTAATTCCTCAATCACGCAAAAGACAAAAAAAGCACATTTAAATTGAATCTCTTGTTTGACATGTCATTGTTTTCTTGCATAAATTTTAGTCCACTTGAACAAATTTGTACGAAGGCAAAGCATTATTCAAATAAGGAGGGATGGGAAGAAATTGGAATTGTAATATTTTTATTCTCGAAAAATGCGACAAATACTTCCGACCGTGACCTTGACTTCCTTGCATTGTCAAAATCAGCAGCGGTCTAAAATTATGAAAACAAAAACTTTACTTGGCGGCTTGAAACTTTAGGCGACCGTAAACAATTAATGTGCAATAATTTGTAAATTAAATAAGAAATGTATAATGTATATTATTAATAAATGATATGATGTCAAATTAAAATTTTAATTTCACCATAAAAATTAGTGACATTTGGCCTTAACAAAACTCATATCTTAAATATATAATCACGCCTACTAACAATTGAACGAAATCTTCATTAGACCAAGTTTTCATATGAAACTTGGGCCAACCTCTCCTAATAAACCAAATACTCATAGGCTAACATTTCATAAACTAAACCAAATCACTTTAGGTCGCCAATTGTTATTATCAGAATATTATATTGTCATCTAATATAACTTTTAAATTTTTTGGGCTACTTATTCATATAAACTATATAATTATAGTGAAAACTTCATTAAATAGTCACTAAAATTATATTACCCATATGAATGTATACCATTATACAGTTTCCATATAATTTTATATACTACAAATCGAATACAATACAGCACTTCTCCTCCTCAACTCACCAATTCAATCAATACTACTTAATTAATTTCTAATAATTAATCGCTGCAAAAATAAAAATAAAAATAAAATCACGCATGTTAAAAAATACTCCAAAATTGTCTGCATTTTCCTTAATCAGTACGTCGTAGGTTGTTCACGTACTGTCTGGTTGTCTCTCCTAGCTCGTCAGCTTCCTGGATTCTAGGAAATTCTTCTCCTTGGCGTCGCAGGAATTTATGTATTCAAGAAACGTCGCAAAATCCGTGTCCTTGTAGCGCCTTGGATTCGATTCATTAATTAGTTTTGGCGACGGTTTCACTGTTGTTTCGAACGGCAGACTGTGCAATGAAGCTATGGAAATTCTTGACTTCAATGAGTTCACCACAACTCTATGTAGCACACTCTTGTACCTCCCGTTGCTAAATATCTGTCACAAATTAAAATGTTCAAATCATAAATAAACCTGCATTTTGTTACCATCTATCTCTATTGTGACGAAATATTTGATCGGAAATGCAACGGGCAGGATAATATAATGTAAATCATGGTAATTCAACTTAACACAGAAGTTAAACATTTATTTACTGGCTGACAAGATGAATGGAGAGTATATATATATATACATATATACCTCGAGATGGTCACCAACATTGATGACGAAGGCACCCGGAATAGGCTCAACAGTGACCCAATCCCCACGGTAGCGGATTTGTAAACCGGGGACATCATCTTGAAGGAGGAGAGTGAGGAAACCGTAGTCGGAGTGGGGAGGTATTCCTAGAGTCAATTCAGGATTAGGACATTGAGGATAATAATTCACCACCATTAGCTGGCTTCCATCTTCGAGTAGTTGTTTTGTAATCTCATTATCGTCACCTTTTTGTTCGCCTGTCTTCTTCTCCTCGACGCCGAGGCTTTCTAGGATGGCTTCCACTACCTTTGCGAACAACAATTTTGTCTCTTTAACGTACGGAATAGCCCGTTTCCTGTATATATATATGCTCAAATAATTACACAAATTCACAAGGCACAGTTAATTAACTAAGCTAAGTCAATTTTGACTTATTTGATCAGTATTATTAACGGTTTGACTTAGTTAAACAACCAATATAAATGTTTGATTAATTAGTTTTATGTAATAGCTTATTATTCTAAAACGCTAAAATTCAAAAAGTTACTCAAAGCAGATCGAGAAAGTCATTTAATCAGCTATCAGTTAATTTACCAAACATCTTTCTACCATTAGCTAATGTTATCAACTAATCAAACTCACTAACCCAATCAGCTAACACATATTTACCAAACACCATCATTATCATATTAAAAGCCATTAAATCCATAATAACACAATTAAATAAAAGTATGGGTTTTTTTCAGCACTATAAAAATTTGTCATAAACTTAAATGTCACTCTCGACTTGATACAAATTAAAAATCATACTCCATCCATTCAACTACTTCTTTCGAAGCGATTATTTAAACTACTTGTGTCTCCATGGTAATAAAAAATAAACAAAAAATGAATGAGATGGAAACAAGAGTAGTTTTGAACAACTATTTTGGCAGTAGTTACCTGTATGATAGGGAGAGAATCAAAGGATTGATTCTATCTCGACTCTCGAGGTTAAAGTAGTTACCTGTATGATAGGGAGAGAATCAAAGGATTGATTCTATCTCGACTCTCGAGGTTAAAATAATAATTAATTTAAACATTTTTTAAACTATAACAGATACGGTATTACCTAAAATAGTAGAAATTTCTCAAAACAACTAACCAATTTTGATTAAAATATAGCCCATTGCAGCGGGCAACGTGAATTGTGACCATAACGGTACACTTTTGGTCACATAAATTACTATATAAGGGCATAATATAATTCAAATAAAGTAAGCCACAAGTTGTTAACCCTACCTATTTAGCTTAGTCTCGTGCTAGTTAACGTAGACTGCTCATGTTCAACGAACTAACAATGGAAAACGGGATTAACATTTCATGACATTATTAAAATTGTTAAGGTTGTAATAATTAGCCGGTTGGAGTACTTAAATATAATGTTATGGTTGATGTTACCTAAAGTCCAAGGGAGAAGAAGGGCAGAGAGGAAGGAGGTCGGAAAGGGGATGGCAGACCAACTTGAGAAAGTCCCTCCAACAAAACACGCCGTCTTTTGTTTGATTAAAGCTGGTCCCATACCGGACCGGCGTCGACATGTCGGAGCTCATGTACTTCTCTCTCTCCGTCATCGGAAGCTCGAAGAACCTTCTCGCCACATCTCTCATGCTGCTCATAACCTCCTCCGTTATGCCATGGTTTACCAACTGCATATATGAAAATTAAGATTAATTATTTAAGCTTAGCTTGGTTAATTTTATTGGGATTATATTGGTGGACCAACTTAACATAAACCCTACCTAAAGGGGATAATACTTTGAACTCTTTCTATTTATCTAATTTAGGGTTAACCATTATCAACAAATTCATATATACTAACTCCAATCCAGCCTACCTGGAAGAAGCCATAATTTTCACAAGCGTATGCGAGGGATTGAAGGGCCTGTAGCCTGTTAGGGCCAGCTTGGAGCTGCGCAAAATCAATGATTGGAAGCTTAATGTTAACCTTACTATCATCGCCGCCATTTCTTCTGCCGGGATTCATGGCAGTGGGGCGTTCCAGCGCCGGCAGGATGTACTTTGTAGGAACAGTTTTGATGCCGCCGTCACAGAGATACTTCACTCCTTTCTGGTACTGCTGAACCCTCTCTTGATGACCCTTATTCTCCTCAGTCACCATGCTTTTGGTTGACAGCAACACTGCGGGAGGCATTTATACTGACAATTGGAAATGGAATTTATTAATGAGAGTTGAAGGATGGGGGCCGCCGGGCCGAGCTGCAATTTGCACAAAAGGTGTTGCCGGCCACTATCTTAGTTAATTGACAAGAGGGGAAAGAATCGGAGATAATGGTGGGAATTAACAAAACCAGAATGGTGCAGTTATATAGGGCGATGGAGAAACAACAAACCTCTCCCTCCAGCAGCTTGTTTGCGAAACCACCTTTAGGTTCTCACTGTTCATACCCAATAAATGGTTTTATATTAATCCCGCTGACAATTCCGCTTGACTCATTCCCATCATACCGCCTTCTAGATCTAGGTAGGGTAGTATTCCATTTCTAAAGAATTGAGCCCTAAGATTACGTCTCATTTCTGTCCCTATTCTAGACTTTTAGTTGATGATCGATCTTGCACGAGTTTAATTAACTCAATGGTTCAATAGACAGTAGAAAAATAAAGAGTTTTGGTAATTGATCGAGATAAATTTTAAAATCTACTAATTCTAAATAGCAATGCATATAAAATTGAAGTGCATCATGGACTTACAATACAAGCAAGAGCACTACGTTTCTAGTAAAACATTGGTGGTGTAGGGTTATCTACATATATGATTTGGGAGTAATAGAAAGAAGTTTAGGAAAACATTAATTTGTAGTTCACTAGTTCTCTTTCAATCCTTTAATTTGAACATATGTAAAGATATATTGGTTATTATAACTTATAAGTGAGAATAATTGTAAGCTAAGGTTAGAAGTTAGGTATAGAACTCTTTAATTTGGTCATTAGCTTATATATATATGCACTGTTATAATTATAAAAATATTGTAGCATTTTTTTTGTCATTATTTATATTAATTTTTAGTCCTTGATCACTCTAGATTGATTGATAATATTAGTTCACATGTTCTCATGGGTTACATACTAGTTCTCATTGCTGAACTTGAATTGACTATATAAATATATATACATGTGAGTCTTTATTATAAATCTTGAGTGTACAGCTAGTTATCTACCGATGCATTATTAAACGTTTTGAAATGTACTACCATAATTACATATATACAATCGTATTTTTTTTCAGCACTTGATCAAGATGGACGGATGAAATTAATATATACATTCTCTCAAAGCTACTAGTTCTAACTAGATCTTGACCAAATATATAATCAACATGGATTGTTCAACACTATAACCATCGAAACAGTTTAACTAATTAATAAACTTGGGTCACCCATAAATAGGAAAAATCAAATGAAGAGGCCAAACTATGTATATGCAATATTTACTATGACAAAATAATCATTTGAAGGTTCACTAATATATTCAATTAATGAAAAAAAAATTAACAAAATTATAGGATGAATTAAAGAAAATTGGCAAGCAAAGCATGCACCAATATATTTACATTATAGTTGACTTTTGGAGTGGGGATTTCTTTATTAGCTGACTTTTGCAAGCTTACATCATTATAAGGAGTGGGGTATCTATCGATCCAAGCATTGGCTATCGCATATATTTTGATATTATTAATAAAAATTATTCTTATATCATCATTGTTACATTATTGTTGTACGCTAATGATTTGATTACTTGGAAGCCAATGTATTACTTGGAAGCATCTCTAACCTCGTCTACAAAAAACCAATAAAATTGCAAAAATAGATAGGTCAAACCTCAAATAATTAAAGCAGCAGACTTGACCAAAGGTCCTGAGTTCGAATTCTCTACTTTATTAAAACTTGTATTTTGCTAACACAAATTTAAAATACAAGAATAACAGTTATCCTTTTCACAAAAACTGGACAACTAGGCAAATTGAGACTCTTGGAATAATGTTAGAGTTCAATCCTTTTAAGAATGACTTAGTTTGGTTTTGCAAGTTGATATATATTATCAAATTCATAGCTTATTCTTACAAGCACAGTAATGTACGTGAGCATATGCATGCATGTTTTTATAATATAGTTTGATGTGTTTCAAAGTAATTATATTGGTTCTTGTCGTATGTTTGTCACCGGCAATTAATTTGGGACGACCTAACCAAAACTAACCAATAGACGCCTCTATATTTGACATGTATTTCTCATTTTAGAGGTCCACAATTTTTTTAAATTGTGTCTATACTATTGTAAGAAAAATTACTAGCAGGTCCCACATTAAGCTTGGTAAACTAATTTAGAAGCTCGACAAGGTTATTGATAAGGTAATATTTCAGACATAATGAGATAGGCCGTCGAGCTAATAGCTCAATCATATACTTCCAAGAATACCCAATGGCTAGGATGACATCAAAATTAGTAATGTACACTCAACGAATTGTGTGCTGATATGTATCAAAATAAATCGTGGTGACAACATGAATTCCACTATTAGCTTTGAGAGCTCCGACCAACTCAAAGCCTCATTCTTCTTCATAATTATTTTTTTTATTACCATACATAGCTTTAACCCAGGCTATGATTACATGTTTTAGGGCTATATCATTCACATTTATAGTAACACTAACAAAAAAATGTGTTAGGTGTTTTTACGTTTCTTTAATTTATGGGTGTTTATAAGGTTTTAAAACTATCTTACTCATTAGTCGACATGCATATAATTTTTTATTAAGTGTTTTTACACTTTTTTATGTCCTATCTTATCAATCAATATAAAATCGTATAGCAAGGTAAAATATATATTTTCAAAAATATAAATAATAGTTCATTTTGTAATAAATTTTAATTAGTTCATGACATAAGTCTTTTTTTACATCAACTTGAATAGAAATAATTCAAAAATGTGACATAAGTCTTTATTACCAATTAAAGATTTAGCCTCCATTCCCAACCAAGACAAAGTTTATCTTATTCATTCATTACGGCGGTTGACTTCTACTCTTACATACCTAAAACTAAGAAGAAAAAAATATTCATAAGTCATCTACCAAGTCTTCATCAATTTTAATACATACCTAAAACTAAGAACAAAGTGGGGCCGGGATACATGTTGACGTGTGGTTATGGTTGTGCCAAGCTGGCGAAACAATCGGGAAAAAACAGTGATCTCGTGTCATGGGTCTTGTCCTTTGGTCTCAGTTCATTGCATGTATGATATCCACGTCAGCGTACCAAGTATTATAATGATTCTTATGTCATCTTAAATAATGTTGACTTTGTGAATAGGAAAATTATAAATGTATTTCATGAAAAGTAAAACTCCTATCATGTGTCTTAATTTAATTTATAGAAGAGGAAGAAAATAAGAAAAATTGTATGCGATTCATAAATTTTTCTAGATGAATCAGAATATGACACATAAGTTAGGAGTAAGAAATTGAATAGAAAATAAGAGTATATGTAGTATTATTTTTTAAAAAATTATATAAATACGCAATAGGATTGCTTCTTCTTGGTTTCAAACCGTAAGGAAACCTAAGTTTATTTATCTCATTATGATCTTTTATTGGTTAAAATTACAATGCGAGAATTAGTCACAACGCAATAAGAACGATGCCTTGTGTAACACACATATATAAAACATTAAAATTTTTTAAAAATTTTAAACACAAAAAAAGTTAATATTATTTAGGTTAAATTATTTGAATATAAAAAATAAAATAATAAATTTTTTATTTATTTTTGAAGTTAGGCACGCAGTCTAGTTCACGAACCCGCAAGAGACAGGTTAGAATTGCATAATCTTAGTCCGCGAGTTTCGCAAGCCGTCCCGTAAAGGCCTGCGGAAAAAAAATTCGTGATGAGACCGGTTAGCCGAATTGACACCCTTATCTATATGTATTATTGGACTTTAGGCTTTCAATTTTATATACAATAAAAAAATCAAAAGAAATGAATTCATTCGAATAATATAATAATATACAATATAAAAAAGGTTGATTGAGAATATAAAATTATTAGTTAAAAGTATGTTCATGCACAAGGATGTTTAACGTAAATCTATGAAGGTAGCACGGGTTGTTAAGCAAAATAAATAAACACAATTTCTTACAGATCATTATATGTGGGGATTATTAACTTTTTATACAGTATTTATATCACGATTAAAAAAATCAATATTTTAACATCTCAGAGCTTTTGATTTAAATATAAAATTTAAGAAAAGAGTATCAAATATATCAAAATGTCAACTAACAACCATCTTTCTAGTTCGAATCACTTTACAGTGGATTGGGCCTCAAGTGTGGTTAGTTTTAGACTTTTAGTACATGTTTCTGGCCTCAAGTATAGTTAGCCTATTGTGTTTCGGGCCAATTTTTATGTCATAAACTAACGTCCATTTTGTATTGTGGACCTTGGTTCAATAATTATGTGTTTAATACAGAATATATTTTATGCCTACAACATAACATGTTAATTACAAACACATAAACTAGTAACTACATATATAAAAGATGTTAATTTCATATACATGATATGTTAACAATATATTATGTGTATGCACTTAACATATTTTGTACCTGTAGTTAAAATTTTATGTGTTTGTAGTTACCATTTTATGTGTATGAAGTTAACATGTTATATACATTCAATTTATCTACAGACACATAAACTGTTACAGAATATGTCAACTACATACATTAATACACATAATCAGAATGTTATTTTAGAATAATGCTCACAATACAAGATAAACCATAATCCATATATAATTTGCCAAATCTACCTGACCTCGTTTTTACTAGAAAGCTCTCTACTCACACTATTTGATTACAATAATTTACCTTCTGAATTCACAATTACACCAACAATTTAGTTTGCTAGTTATTATGGCCAACTAAACAATCGTGATTCAGATGGCACTTCTGTAACTCCCCTTAAGAGAAGGTTATCGAACCCAAGACCTCAACTCTTTAAATTGTAATAGATAAAGTAAGTATAAAACAGATACTACCTTGTAATATATTACGTAGTAAATAGTACTAAAAAAAACAATAGTGATAATCCCATGCATCTTTTAGTACGTACCAAGTTCGATATATACACAATTGGTCTGTCTGTGTACACCACCTGTGGGAGCAGACATCAGCATAACTAACTAATAACTACCCATGCCCCCATTTACGGCGCTCACCATTTCTCTCTACTCCCTACTGAACCGTCCACTTGTCGCAAATAACACCACAGACGACATTGATCCCTCCGCCGCTAGTTTTTCCGTCGTGTCCGGACACCTGTCTCCCCATCTGTTCAACACAACCTTAATTATTGCAACCCCTACACAACAACCCCCTACCTAATCAAATTACATCAAAATCATCTTAATAGTTATTTTTTCTTTTAATACAAAAATTTGAATTCTAACCTTATTGTGACATTACTAATATCTTTATTTACAGAAAAGTCTACTGTCATTACCTAAAGGTTCACTCTAGACGAAACTCTCTTTATAACTTTAACCCGCAAAAGACATAAACCAACATAGGTTACACCTAGCTGACCGGATCAAACCAAAAGATTAATAAACTGTTTCTACGAAAAGTCAAATTTAGAATCTTATGATTATTAAGTTAATTGTCTGACAAATTTAGATAGATTTATAGTGTTATATTAGTGACTAAATATGAAAATTTAAATTAAACATTATAAATTGAGACAAGAGTACGTGTCGAAAAGGGACAAGTGTACTCATATGTGGCAGTTGTTTAATGTAAGAATATAGAAAACTTGTGTACACGTACGAGACAAATGCTTCTAGTTTTGGTGTTCATATAAACCGCAAAGGAAAAGGTTTTTTTTGTTCTCCACACTCCCCGTTTAGGACAAAACTTCTCCTTAAAACAGCTTAGCTTCATCGTACGAGAAATCATACATACGATCAATCATGGACAACATTGCAGCTCCACCCATGTTGACGTCAAACAGTTTCTTCCCTCCCATGCTGGTATCCATTGCCGGGATAGTTTCCACCTGCGTAGCCATATTTCTCTACCATTTCTTCGTAGTGAAGTACTGCCGCCGCCGGCGACAAAGGGGTGGGCTAAACGGGGATTCCGGCGAGGTCCATTTGGGAGTGGGATTGGATCCGAAATTGCTTGAAACTGTCCCGGTGATGCCGTACTTGTTAGCCCGAAAACGGGACGATTTTCGGGTGGATCAAAGGGAGTGCGTGGTTTGCCTTGGGGAGATGGAGGACGGGGAGACGGTGAGGTTGTTGCCGGATTGCCGGCATGCGTTTCACGTGCCGTGCATAGACCGGTGGTTCGTCGCGCATTCCAACTGTCCCGTTTGCCGCTCTCCGGTGGTTTTTCGCGACGGAGATAATGAAAGCCACGGGAGTAGTGTAAATTCTCCGCCGGAAGATGCCGAAAACAATAGCGACGATCATCACGCCGCTTCTTCTTCTTCTCTGTCGTCGTCACAAATGCACTCTTGTGGGCTGCTTCGTCACTGCGCGTCCCTTGTACTGCCGATGGAGCGCCGCCCGTCGCAAAAGAGATTGAAACGGTCGTTATCTATGGACCAATCTTTCGTTATTGTTGACATGCAAATGGAAACGGAAGATGATGATGATGATCAGAGACGGCACTGTTCATCGTCTTCTTCAAAGGAAAGGCTAACGAGGAGTATATCCATACGGCAATTCGACATCGTTCCGTCGAAGTTGGTCGTGTCTTTGTCGTCGCGATTACGCATTGGAAGACCAACGGAAATTCTTCCATGTTGAAAAATGATAAAGAATTAATTATTGTAACATTTTTTTTTAACTAAAAACTTTTTGTATTTATATTTATAAAAATGATATTGTCTCTTCCGGTTCCGGTCTGTGTAAGTATAACATTCTTATTATTCCGTAGAAATTTTCTTTATAAAGCATAACTTATTAGTAAATTACACTGAAAGGATGGTATAATATGTAATTGTTGTTAATTTATTTTTAGAAAGTTTGCAATCTTTATTTATGATATTAGCTTTTATGTTAACGAAAACAGTGTCAAATACGTAGTACTAAAAAGGGTACTAGATACAAACACGTTTCGAAAAATTATTTTTCAAAAGGGATTAATTGAAATTAAGTTTGATTAGTCTTGTTGGAGTGTTAGTAACATTAGGGACAAAATGGTGGCCCCATTGGTATTGAGAAGACTTGGAAAAGTCAAAGTATTGCCACTATAAGTCTATAATTTGGTCTATTCTTCAAATTTCCAAAGACTTTGAATGTGGACAATATCTTTTTGTTGGTTGCTCATGACTTCCTAATAACCCATCACTATCAAATGTGAAAGAATTTACCAATTCAAGGACGACGACAATTTCTGTGCTAGGTGACAAATCAGAGCATAATCATGTTCGTGTTAAATACGATTTCAAATAGTGACAAAATAATGTTGATGGAAGGAGCATTGCAAGATGACCCAATCAGACTATATTAAAACCCAACACATGATTACTAGAGTTGGGTGAATCCGACAAATAATTGGTAAGTTAAATGAACAAATCATACATTTAGAGGCGAAATAACTATGAAGGTTATATGAACTTACTATATCGATCTACCTTTGTGTCCTCTTAAAAAAATCTTTAAATACTTTATTTCACGCTACTAAAAATAAAACCTCTGAGAGATCAGAGCTGTCTTTAAATAAAATCTGACTGAAATTCAGTTGAATTAATCTTGTTGTTTGGAATGCAGGTACAAGTGTACTATTCAAAAATAAATGAAGAAGCATATTTACCAAGATTGAAACAATTCTTTATGTAAAAGGGCCATGTGCAAGGGTGGGGGGTCCATGTAAATAAAAAACTAGAAAACGGACTCTACAAAGACTTGGAAACTTTGATTACAATTTTGCATTATTGGACTTTACACCAAGAGAATATTGTATATGGTTTGGCTTTTTGTCCAAAAGGCCCCACCATCTCCAATGGGAAACTTCATATGAACCCTAACAATTCTTTGTTCTTACAACCCCACCTCCCCCCAAGTGGCCAACATTTGTTGCCCCAAAGATGGGTTTGTATGTGAAACAAACAAGTATAAATGAGTTGTATATATTCCTCAATTCTTTCTATAAAATTTAATTTAATTTAAAGAATTTGAATTTCTTTTATAAATACAGAGTTGATCTAAAACCCAACCGACAACACATCCAACAACAGTCAGGATAAAAAGGGCGCCCTTCGGGGAATGCCTTTTCTTCTCCTTCCATTGGAAGGCGGGGGCGGAGGCGTGGCCGGGTAAATGTCATGTTGTGAGGCTTCACGCAATTCATCTTCCTCCTTTGATGCCCTTCTTGATGATATCCCTTCCCCTCTTTCCATTCCAAACTCATTCTTTGCATCCAAGACAAAGCTTGCATTCCCATTCCTCTTTATTCCTACAAGCTAAAAAATATCCGCAACAAAATATTTAATATAATCCCACAGCTCGCCTATAAAAAAACATAAGCAAACTAAATAACACCAAATTCGGATTGAGCCATTAGTCTCAACCATCGTGCTATTTTCTAACTATAGTTCAACATACCCCGTGCATCGTCATAAAAGTTAACTTTAAAATTCGAATCTCGAAAATATTTATTGACAAAAAATAACTAACATGTGACAATGAAGGTGGTGCACATTACTTGTCCAAATAGGAAGAAAAAGATGATAATTATAGCAATCGGTTATTGTTGAAAAGGATGGCATTAATGGCATAGAAAAATATATGACCATAATTACATCGAACCACTCAAACAGGCATGGGCTGTCACATTTCTGGTACCTAAACTTCGACCCGACCCGGCCATAACACTCGGGTCGGAACCGGTGGCCATGCCTACACACGTGTGTATAATGCCAAATGCATGATAACTTTATGACCATATTACATGATTATGATGTATGAATATAGGTGGGGAGCTGCCATCAATGATGGCCTGAAAATGTGTGAGTATATATATACGTATAAATATGAATGTGGGACATCATTATAATGACACATTGCATGTATATACACACACATACATTTATTTATATATATAATGTGACAAGGCAAGAAAGGATCAAACAGAAAGATAAGCAGTCAATCTTGACATCGAATCGTGTTACAAAATAACTGTAATAATGAAGAAAGGGTAGAAAATTGAATGCAGTAAGGATCAAAAAAATCGAGATTGAATGAGCATAACTATGAACAAATTAAAATAAAGAATTTCAAGAACGCAGAATCTTATGAATCTCGTACTCAAGTGTGTTATGGGGAATTGAATTAATGCGATTGAGAAGTACTAACCTTACAACCCAATGAACAAAACTGGAAAGGGTCCAAAAGGCTTCTGCTGCAGATCTCGCAGATGTGAGAAACAGCTTTGCCGCTGGTCTTAGGTTGCGGCCGCTCGTTAAGGAACAAAACTCTTGCACTGTTAATAACGTAAGTTTGAACTCCGGTGATGTCCAGCACCCTCTGAATCTCCGAAACCCTCACAACATCATGGTACGAAGACCTCCTTATCTATATATATGAATTTGAATTAGTATGTAGTAAGTAGTGTATGTATATGTGTATGTATATACGCAAATAAAAAGATCAGAAAATCAATCAGCATTAGGTGGTGGGATGGATATAACATCACAACTACCCTTTCGTTTTTATTGACAGAATGCAAAGAATACTTCCAAAGAAAGAAAAGTGAGAGATAGTGGCAAGAATCAAGCTAAGGCATTATATTATATATATAATGACAGCCTTTTACAATGCATTAACAGTCGATTAGATTAGGTTAGACTAAATTAAGACCTGAATGACTTGATGATCCTTGTGGCGGGAAGAGCGGCAGTAGAAGCAGAAGGCGGCGGCTGCGCCGCCGCAATCTAGGCAGAACATGTTGCATTCGCTCCTGGCGCCGTCGCCGTGGGTGCGGCAGACGGCGAAGAACGCCGTGTTTAGCAGCGGCTCCAGCCACGGAGGGACCAACATTGTGGCCGCCTGCAGCGAGGATCCACAAATAAAGAAACACACAATGCCGGTGAGTTCAAGAAAATATATACCCAGAAAAGATAATGATAAAAAGAAGAGATTTTTAACAATGGGCATTACCATTATTACAATGAAATTGAGCTGCGGAGGAATTGAACTGTGACGGAAGATGAAGAAGATGATGATGAAGGTGAGGATTGAAGAGAGAAAAAGAGGGTGTTTCGAGGGGGGGTGGGGGGAGGGGGGAGGCCTAACCTAAACAACCAGCAACTTAGAATTTAACAACAAAAACAAATAAGCATTAAACTAATGGTGAAAATCGACGGGTGAGATTGGACGTGGTGGCTGAGGAAGTTTGACCGCCGTTGGATTGGATGGTTGGGGGTAAGGGAGGTTGGCTCTTACGCTACTTTGGATCTTCTTTGCGTCTGTGTGTAGGCCAAAGGTCGGCCGCTTGGGTACGTATAAGCTTATTATGTAATAAAACGGCACCGTTTTATTCGCGTTTGTGTATCTTTTCATACGTGTCCGTGAATTAATAGCTGCCGTATGGGACCCGCTATATGGTTTCTTGTTGCTAGTGACGAATGAAACAATGAGGAGACCCGAATTCTTTAATTTCCCAAACTGCCCTTTCTTTTCCTATTTATTGCGATTATGCCCTTCTTACAATCTCCTTGTGCAATTAATCATGATTTTTAACCTTATTAGAATTTAGAAAGTAGAAACTATCCTAAGAAAAATTATAAAATGTCAAAATAAAAATTTGTGCTTACTTTTAATTTCATATATTTCTAAACATATTAACAAGATAATTGCGGTATGATCAGCCCAATGGGCTTAAATTCTTAATTGATATCTTGAGGTAAGTCCAGCTGCAACACGCACGGAGACTCAGTCTAGCATGACTGAGTCCATCAATGTTGGTGAAGAGCGTTATTACACCTAAAAAGCTTAAAAAGTCAATTTTTTGAGGAAAAACTTCAAGAACTTGTATTAAAGCTTAGAAAGTCAATTTGATTATTGAAAAAATTAGAAAAGCTCTTAGTTGTTCATCATTTGTTTAATATAAACAACTTGTAAAGTTAATGAGAGAACAATCAATCATCTTGTGTTGAACTCAGCTACTTCAACAAACGTTTTAATATGTGTAGTCTTATTAATATTTTTTAATTGTTTAGTGTTAATTAACATTAATACCATCACGTATATTTTATGATCCAAGAAATACAATTTTTAAAAAATATATAAATAGGCGGCATGTCATGTTAGAAGATACATATTAAACTCGAACATCATTAAAAATTTCTTTGAAAATATAAATAAATAGATAGTTTAGATAATGTATCATGTCAGAAGATGCATTTTTAATCCCAACATGATTTAAATAAAAAGTTGTTAATTAGTATATTAGATTAGATATAATGGTATGACTATATACTCCATATATTTTAAACAAGAATATTCATATACGGAGTAGGTAGATAAAATTGTTTATTAGTAGCAAAACAAGTTTAATATACATACATATATTAATAACGAAAATTATCACAACACACGATATTAAAATTTTCAATTTATCTAAAAAGTAAAACGTGTCACAAAATAGACGATCAAATAAGTGAAACATGATTCTTGTTAACACCCTCTTAGTCAAGTCTACCGCACAATGTCTTCTTAGTGCAATTTACTTCTTCCATGTGATTTGTGAGTCATCACACATGTACATTTATCTAGTATATATGCCTTCAGATAGTAGTTACAATCTCTAACAGTTAAAACTCGTCTAGAGAGTAAGTAATACTTGAATTATATTGTACTTATAATAAGATCATGAATCTTATACGGATTAAATTTTAACAATATGTACATAAATTTATCAATCCAACAGATATCATATCGTTAAATAAGTTTCGTGGAAAACTCTTGAAGAATTAAAATGGTTTTTTTTAACGGCAATTCCGCTCCAATGATCAAAAGTAGCTTTAGAACTATAATAATGTTTTGATACCTCAAGTAAAGTTGTTATCAGCGGCTTTTGAGGCATGATAATTGAGTGGATTATATATATTATATATACACTCCAATAATTCATTAGTTTATCCATTTTAATTAATAATTAAAATGTAAGCAATAGGATAGCAAAATAAAATAAAATAAAAATGAAGAATAATGGCGTGATTTAGAGGGATCGGATTGTTATTACAGTCAGAAGGATTTCTGACAAGGTACACTGTATACTTTTACTACCAAATATGCAGAAGAAACATGGAGAGAATGTGAGAGATCCAAGAAAGGCAAGATTAATAACTTTGGGTTTTTCTTTTCTTTTCTGAGTAAATCATTCTCAAAAGCATAAACGCCCCCGTGATACAAGGGGTGAAACAGAAAGTTCATTTTTGCAGGTTTTGGGTTCATTGACGTCCGCATATTATGTCATGACCCTTCTTTTACACCCCTAATCGGGGCTATCTGATATCCAGTAATCATAATCATAATATTCATAATAGAAATTAAAATAATAATAATAATAATAATTTCGTGTTAATTATAACAGTCAATACCTCTACTACATATGTTAAATTAATCCACTAGTTCAGTAGACAATATTTGAGATGAAAGACAAAATTCGAACCTCAGCAATGACAATGTGAAGATTATTATATCCAAAGTTTGCAGATCCTTTGTGTACATTGGTATTTAACCTTGTCTGCTGAGCTATTGAGCCATGGTAATGTTCTAACGGGCCGAAGGGTGAGAACTCTTGGGTTGGAGATTCAACATTTTGAGAGAAGAAGACTAATCCCTTAGACCGAAAATTTGACTCAACCTTCCAATTACTTCATCTCATTTATCATGTCATCAAATGGTTGAATTGAAGATGCTTAAACTAAATTTGGTTTAACTAATATATATTTCTTCCAAATATAGTAAGACCAACTAGTGGAAGTACCACTGTACCAGACTACTACCAAGTACCAACCGCTTGACGTGAAACATATGCCAACCATGCCGTAACCTAGAGGGATACGGAGTATACTTTATTACCTTATACGTACCAAAACCAGTTGAGAACGGTAATAGGCATTAAAGAAACCAATTTATAGTACTCCTTATTCAATGGGGTTAGGAAATTCTTTGTATGTTTTGGTAACATACAAAATATCAAGTGACTGGCCTTGTCACCACTAAACCAATCATTATTCTATGGACTAAAAAGTAGACGTACATTTTTAATATACTAAAAGTACATTATATGTGCATATAAAGTACATTATTTTGCATATTATCAAATAATGGACATTCAATACACAAATAATGTACTTTTAGTATATTATGACCATTGTCCACATAAAAATTTGCTCCCCTAAACCAACTCAGGTTGTTCATAACTGATCAACTCAAATCAAGAAGTGCATTAATTAGGCAACCCTCACAAAAAGTTGAACTTGGAATCTTATAATTACCAAATCAACTGTCTAACCAATGCGACTGGGAGTTGCTCCCACAAAATATCAACTCTGCATCCTAATAATGGTTTAAACTTTTAATTAACAAATGTTGTACAAGTCGGTAAACAGACGGTTAATACAACTAGGGTTGAATATTAAATGTGCTTTATTACATTATACTCCGTATAATACATGGCTGCATAATTGATTATGAAGACTAGACAAGCACTCCATTTGCTTGATAAGTGGGGTTAGGACCTTAATAATGTTGTAAATTAAAAAGAAGTCGAGCAAGGCTGGCAAACATCCAAATGCACGTGCACCTTTCAATGTTAATACGTATCCGTGAGCCTAAATAGGATTAATCAGTGCACTAATTACTATTTATTCATGTCTTAATGGATCATGTTAGCTTATGATCTGTAATCCAGAAATGTGATCTCTCCAACTCCACTACATGTGGAGCATCACATGGCAACTCTCTTTCTCCCTTTTCATGATTGGAAACTTCTTTTACAGAAAATCAGATTGCATATTCATATCACTAAATCTTTCCTTCCATATATCCTTATTGTATTCCAAGTGCTACAACCCTTTACAGTATCATACAGCTAATGTGTTTCCGCCAAATCTAAAGGAGGAAATTAAGTCTAGGCAAGGTCTTTTATGAGTAAGAATCAAACTCTAAGGTGCAACCCAGAAGTTATCTCACCGTAGTAAATATATATATACATACATATATATGCTAAAAAGGGGGAAAAGACAGTCTACCTATATGAGCAAGCCAGCAAAGACAAAATACTAGGAGAAAAGGAGAAACCAACCGAGCAATAAAAATGAAAGCAAGTATATCATGAAATGTCTTGGCTTTCTAGACCTTCCTCTTTCAAGCAATCAAGTTCTTTTTCCCACTTCAATCCAAATATTTGACGGCCAAATGGAACGATTAAATTGTACCGGAAAACCTGCAGAAAAATTCCACTCCAGTTCAATTAACCAATTGAAGCACATATGCAACCTCATATCAATAAGAAGCAACATTACAAGTCTTCATCACGTTACACAATCTGACCACCAGATGGTTGATATCAAATTCAGTTCTCAACTGGAAAATAAATGTAAGGTAAACGCACGCATCATCATTATTTGTAAAGGTGGATGGGAACCAATGCTCAACATTCCGCTTTATGTAGGGTATGGGTAACATATGTGAAGAAAGGTATATGAAACGTTACTTCTATAGTTGTACTTTCATATTAATGTATGGACAAAAAAGTGTGGTTCTGGCTGCAACTTTGCATTTAGACGTGTAAACTGACCTTTATGCATTTCTTATTAGCTGTAGAAAGTGGATACAGCTCTGAAGATTTAAGTATTATATCATTTCATCATATGCCCAATACCTTTCTCCCCATCACCCCATATGATGCAAAAATAAAACCAAGGTATTGGCCATATGAAACAATACCTAAATCTTCAGAGCTGTATCCACTTTCTGCAGCTAATGATAAATGCAAAAAGGTTTGTTTACATGTTTTAATGCAAAGTTGCAGGCTTGCAGCCAGAACTGCAAACTGGCAAAGCAGACTCCAGTGTGAAAGGTCTCTTACCTTGTCATTTATGTCACGCATCTGCAACTTTAGAGCCTCTGAATACTCGACCCATTTAGCATCATTACCACTACTTCTGTATCCCCATGCTTTCTTCAGGCTTGATCTCCACACTGCAACTTTATCCCTTATCTCTTTGTTTAGTTCAACCCATTCTGGAGCACACTTATTCCGCGAGAGAATCCGGTATAAGGTGTCCTCAGCAGGGTCAGCATGGGGATTGCTGCTGAGGTCCAACGGCTTTCCTTTCCCTGGCAAGTTCTCAAATTGTCCCTGCTCCATTGAATGCCATATTCGTTGCTCAACAACATTTATAATGTCAGTCTCTGACCTGCAGCCCACAATCATCACTAGTCAATAATTCAATATCACATTTACAAAATGGCAACACTTCTGGACCTTGACAATCATGAGGTTATTGATAGACCAGTATCAAAATCAGATATTTAAGATGATAAGATTCCCTCAGACAATATCACCATAATTCAGCTAGGTTAAATACTAATAGCTAGGATTTAGGATCAAACACAACCGGCAAAATGTTAATTTTGAAGAAACAGGACCGATAATGGCTCTTAATCACAGGAATATACAATCACAAAGTTAATTTAGAAGAGGAAGTTTTGGGAATGGATGGAGCGGAGTTAACCTGACGGCGTTACGCCGGCCACGGAGTTCAGGAGGAAGTTTACGGTCGTTAACGGCGTCGACTACAGCGGAGAGACGATCCGTCAGCTTCTTAGTCGACTCCTGCGACGACGCCGTCTCAGCGGAAGCCGAATCCGAAGGATAAGATGAAGAAGATGCTAATCTCGGTCTTGAGAGGCCGTGGCCGGAAGTTTCGAAGGCCGCTATTGCTCTCGTCAATCGCGCTGCCATGGCGTCGAGCTGGGAATACCGAACTTGGGCTTGTGGCGGTTGGGCCTAAGATACTCATGGATTTTACTGGTTGCCAATTTCTAGGATAACCGACTTGCGTGGCTAGTTGTGGACCGCCAACCTTACTTGGAAAGTTAAACATTTTTTTAATTGAGTGTAATAAATTATATTCTTTTTGTCTTATTTTATTACTCCTATTTCAATCAAATCTAGTTAATTAAATCAGACACATAAAATAGGACTAAACTATTCGTCAATCCTATTTCAATCAAATCTCATTAATTAAATCAGACACATAAAATGAGACTGAACGAAGGAGTAACCAACTAGATAAAGAGCAACTCTAAAATTAAAAAAAAAATAAAAAAATCAACAATTTAACTATTTAATTATCAACTTAACTATTTAACCAAGTTACAAGATGTTCATTTTACTCGTTATTATAATGTGCATTTATTGATAATTTCTTAGACCTTATAGGCTTGTGCATTGGTCACCAAAGATAAAAATTTTTTACCAAAAACACACGTCAAATGCCAAAAACTGAATAAAGTACACGAAATTGCAATATATAAATAAGGTCTATACCACACAAAAATAGGGCAATACAACTCATTCTCATCTATAAAGTAATACTCTCATCATAGAACACCAAATACAATGATCATTCAGAAAATTCCTGCCGGAAACTTGTAACTTAGAGTAGCCCAGCGGTCTTCAAAGCAGCCTCAAATTCTGTATCACTTTGCCAAGATGTCACCTGCAATCAATATAAAAGGCATAATAAGATATAACTTGAAAATTATCTACCGTAGAAAACATAACAACTATCAGAGGTAACAAAATGTACCTCGGCCACGGGACTATTGAAGTGGTTCTCAATTTTCGACATTAGCATGGTGTCTGTATCGTTGCAAAGCAGGTTAAACACAGCACCTGTGTTATGACAGAGAAGTGTCAACATTTTTTCTTCGTACATAATAAACTATGCCTTGGGTAATAAAACTAATACTTAAGCAGTTCAATTACAATAACAAAATCAGAATAGAGATTACCTTTGCGGCCAAAACGTCCTGCTCTGCCAATCCGATGCAAGTATACCTCATAATCTGGATCTGACCAATGGCCATATTGCACCGGAAGATCATAATTCACAACCAAATTGACCTAAAAAAACAATTTAAACTGGTTGGGTTGGGTTTGTGATGCCATTAAATGATAGAGATGAGAGTACTGAGAAAGAAGGCTATACATACCTGTGATTGGTCAAATCCCCGAGCAAGAATATCCGTTGATATAAGAACTTGTGTAAGACCTTCCTTGAACTCCTTAATAATTTTGTCTCTGTCTTCTTGCTTCAAAGCACCTTGAATTGTTGTTACCTCATAGCCATAGTCAACAAGAGACTTATGCAACATATTAGCACTATTTCTGGTACGAACAAAGATAATTGTCTGCCCCACCTTTGACGCCAATTCAAGTATTTTATCCTTAATCACCATGACCTTTGAAAGTTCATCAGGGCATTGCACCTTATACTGCTTCACAGACTCCAGTGAAAGTTCTTCCTTCTTTACAAAGAGCTGATTGTAATCTTTTACAAAGAGGTCTTTGACAATTTTCGTCACAAAACCCTTGACAGCTTCATTGAAGGTTGCAGAAAACAGGAGCACCTGGTATTATGTGACCATAATATAAAGTTATCGTGTAAGCCACATATTAAATTAAAAGCGAGAGCTCCATAGAGGGACAATATCAAATAAGAGTTATATGTTGATAAAAAAGTTTATGCAGCTGAGCAGCTCTTTTACCTGTAAAATATTATACCTATAAGGTAGCTTTCTTTTTTTTTTTAAACACACGTGGAAATAACTATATAGGGTATCTAAACAAAAAGAACTAGTTGAATCTCAACTTCTCTAAAAATACATAATATGCATTCTGAAGGCCTAGCTCTACAACCAATGAAGCAAAAAAGCAACACATCATACACCACTTGTAGGCCAACAAGACATCATATTTGTTTAGTTGATAGCCAAACCTAAGACGATTGGTACTAAAGCTTGGTTGAGTCACTAGTAGCATGCAAAAGACATCTTGTGGTGTAGGGGGTGCTTACTAATCAATAATTGAATAAACAAAAAACAGAACTATCAAATCATAACTATATGGAAGACTTGATTCTTACATCTTAACACATTAGAAATTAAACTTCGTATTAAAATAATCTGATCACTAACCTGGCAATCGGCTTTGCCTCTGACAATAGCCTTCATTATTTTTACAGAATCATCCTGAAAGCCACTCTGCATTGTTGGAAATATCAAGATGTTAGTTGTCATTTTTTTGAAAACCAATCATTGGTGAACACATTCAACACATTGCCAGCTTTTATCATTTTGGTCGGTAATTCGGGTAATTCAATTTACTAAATCAAGAAATTGGCTCCTCAGACATCTGGCCATCTGGGGTCTCTTACCCTTCTACAATGCAATTGTCAAATGAACAACTTCACCAAAACTTTTGCCAGCATAGAACTTGAGTACAAAGTATAGACTAAAAGCACTTTCTGCGGAAGTTTATCACAGAAAATACATTTACCTCTGCTAACATGTGGTCTGCCTCATCAAACACAAGAATCTTCATACAACTTGCGCCCAGCTTCTTTGCTATGACCCACTTATTTATGGTTCCAGGGGTACCAATTATAACTTGAGCTGTAACAGGAGGTCGTTTATTTATTGGAATATAGTTGGCAGCATCTGCTGGAATTGCCAATTCTGATGTTATACCAGTATACTTCCCCATCTTCAACAGAACTTCCATATTCTGCAAGTATACATAAACTGAATCAAAGTCTAAATCAATTGCTAACTTCTTATATTGTAATCTGTACAGTAATAAACTATCTGAGCATTAGTGAGTTAATTTTCATTCCAATTATTAGCTGGAAATAATCTACTAAACAGTGCTATATAAACATAACCCACCTGAATGGCAAGTTCTCTAGTGGGACAAATACAGAGAGCCTGAGGGGCAGCGAGCTTCGGATCAACTCGGCTCAACATTCCAAGCACAAAGCACGTTGTCTTACCGGATCCATTATGAGCCTGGGCAATAAGATTCTTGTTCGGCGGAGTGAGTATCATAGGCAGACTGATTTCCTGAATTTTACTCGGCCTCTCAAACTTCATCTCTACATATAATCCCTTCAGCAACTCCGGAGTCAAGTTCAAGTCTTCGAACCTTTTGGCAGATTTATACAAAGTATCCCCAGATGTAACCTAATGTGCAGAGAAAAGCTAATTAAATCCTAGCCAGCCTTGAGGTCAGAACCGCAAACAAACTTACTAGCAATTAAGCTTAAACACTAGTAGAGAAAGAGGGGAAGAGTGCGTACAGCTTCGATACTGGCGTCGTCAGGGTCAGAGAGGGTTTTGTAGACACTTTTGGACTCATCCATGGCTAGAGAGTCCATATTAAGTTCGGAACTGGGTTTCACATCGGAGGTCGATGATGCCTCCGCTTCCTCCGTCTCGTCTGCTACGTCGGCCCAACTCTTACTCAGCTGAGGTTTCGTCTCCTCCATCGCCGCCGAGGCGGCGACGGAAGTACTGTTGTCGGCCATTGGAACTCGAGATCTTCCGAAAGTTTCCTCTAGAGAGATCAGTAGCTTATAATGTAAGCATGGCGACTCTTGTTGACTTGTTCAAGGTAAAACTCAAGAAAGAGAATATTGAAAATTTATTGCCTGGCCCATTTAATATAAGCCCGAACCTAATCCAATACCCGAGCCCAAACAAAGCATTCTTCTTATTATGAGGAAACCAATATGGTCGCATTTATAGATAATTCGAAATTGAGTCTGGTGGGATAACATCCCAATATATAGACAAATCATAATTAAAAGCATCAGATGCTAAAGTATGCGTTAAATAATTCTGCGATCTATGAATAAAATTAACTGAGCAATAACTAAACATAACCATATAAGCTCTACAAGCATCAAGAGCATAACCAAGATAGGATCGAGTCTGTGTCTCCGTTGAGGATAGATATGCCTAGAGTGTCTGACAGTCCGTGAATATTTTAACTGATGATTCCCCTCGTGTTCTGAGCCATGACAACGCTTCTTTGCACGCAAGAGCTTCGGCCATAAGTGGTGAGAAGCAGTTGTGCAAGGACGCACTGTAAGCGGACATGTATCCACCGTGGTCGTCGAACAATATCGCCCCAACCGTGGCTGCATTTGATTGTGTCTTGTAACCGACGTTGATGAAGCAGCACGTCGACCGTGTCGAAATTGCAGCTGCAAACAATATTCCATTAGTGTTTAGAACATTTAGGATCGTTCTAAACCATTCTTGGAAAATATTCGTTACAAAATAGGGTAGTGGAAGATTAGATTGATCTCATATGGATCTTGCATAGTCACATAAGATCAATGAGTGCATAGTATTTTCATCCATAAGTCTACACATGGCACATTCCTCATTTGAATCACATTCCTCTCCACATTTTTAAGTTATGCGAAATATTCAATAATATTTCATTATTTGAACCAAACACTCTCTTATTGTGGTTAGAGTATGACACATTTCACTTTTGAGTTTAATTGCCACTCTATATATGTATGTATACGTGTATTGGATGCGTTTTATTGTAATTGATATAATAAATAACATTGAAATAAACACAATCTAAAGATTTCCCCTTTTAAAATTTCAACTCAAAAACATAAGGTTAATTAAAAATAAATGAGTACATTACCAATGGGCTATGCCAGATTGCATATATTCAAGGAAAACTTAGTTTGGAAAATGGTAATTTAGTAAGTAGAGTATAATTATTGTACTAAAACGTCATAACTTAATTCAATTCTTGATAACACTTTTTTAGTCGAGTTTCTGATTTTTTTAATATGATTTATTTATATTATACATGATCGAATTTTACTTAAGACATATTATATCGTAGAGCTTCTTAATCAATCACCCAAAATAAAGAACAAATGAGTTGTACGCAATATATATATATATATATATATATATATATATATATATAT